ACCTATATTCAGACCTTGTGTTCACAGGCAGCCACGAATATGTCACAATGAAGCAGCAAAAGTATCAATTCCGAACTGATATACTGCACCCTGAATATGGACTATGCATATATATATTCAAACACAATGAGAAGGAACTTGTCATTTTGCAAAATGATCAAGTGGAATTGTCAGGTGTTTTAAATGTAAGTGAAATACAATCGAACTTTTACCATTTGTTTATTTTGAGGGTGTATGTTCAGGGATGCAGCTAGAAATTTTGGTTTGGGAGCGCGTCTTGTTCATTCTTTTCTTATATGTTTACAATTAGAGGCATGGTTGGCACAGCATAGAGTGCCTATACCTCCCACCATTGTAGCCCGCTAGGCTCGATTCTAGCTCAAGCAGAGGAAGAATTTCTGTTCCAGTCAGATGCATCCAGATCAGTTGTGTGTGATGAACACGAGTTTTATTGTCCTTTCTTAGTCTCTTGTGGGCTTGGAGAGACATTCTTAGGTTCTTAAATGTGCTGTTTACACATAAACTTTAGGAACAACAATTTTGTGATCAATTAGACCATGTACTACAGTCTAATAATGTGACTTTATGGCATTCCACACCTCTCAAGATCACAGGAGAAAAAAATATATAATTTTCACAAATAACCTTTGAGAAGTGGAAAATGGTTTTTATGCAAAAGTACTATTAACTCTAAGCAACCTGTGTTTCCCTCCTTTTTTCTTAAAAAAAAGGAAATTGCTGGACATCAGGAAATGGTCCCAGATGAAATAAATCATGCACTATCATTTGAATTGGTTCAAGGTCTTTTGGGTACCTTGGACTCTGAATGGAGCAGACTGGCTGTTAGAGGACTTTTGTCAAGCATGCTATCAGGTATTTGTGCATTGACTTTTCTATTACCAGATTTAATTTAATTGTCATCCTTACACAAGATTTTGTGATATTTTGTGTTCACCAGGTAAACAGCTATACAACATTGGTATAAACCCTACAACAGGCGATGCATCACTCTGAAGACTGAAATATGTCATTGAGGAAACTAGCAATGCGAAACTGGCTGCTAAAGACATTGCCCGCTTAAAAATTAAAGAAAGTATTCGCCACCTCACTGACAAAGAACAGGAATTGCAAAAAGCATTGCAAAATCCCTTTTTATCAGATGTCAATAACAAGAGGATTGAAGAAGAGCTGTCTGCAGTTCAAAAAAGGTATCGTCAAAAACGTCAGCTACAATCAAATGAAGATTCATTGGCATTTGTGTCCATGGTCTCGAGAATTGCACAAACTCTTATTGAAGAAAACAGTCTCAAAGCAAGGGCGCAGGGTGCAGGGCGATCCACTCTGCTTGATGAAGAAACTACGGAACTTGTGGTTAAAACCCTAGAAAGTGACAGTAGTGCAGAACGAAGACGCCGAGACTCGGTTCTGTATTGTGATAGGAGTCGAGTCAAAGAGGCTGATCTGTTGGACATTGCAAATCACTATCTAGAAGAGCAAGGCAAGCCGTGTATAAAAAGCTCACGTACAGTGGCCTTATGGCAAAAACCCAGGAAGAGTAACACGAGAGAGGCCAAACGTCACCACAAAGCGTCTGATGGGAGATTTTTCTTTACATGTAAGAAACCCGAGAAAACTTTAGAGGATAGTCACATAGATACTCATCATCAACGGGCACATGTAAAGCTTGTCCGGACGAATGCATATAAGAATGAAGAACTTGCTTCCCTTACACTTGACATTAGTATGGATGACAAAGCCACTGTAAAAGCTGATACTGATGTTGGTTGGTATGGTACGAAAGGAAGAGGGATTTTCATGTCAACTGAGAAACCGCATCAGTACAAAGAGCATGACTTTGTCGGAGTGGAGAATCAAGTAACACCCAGTGCATTTAGAGCAATGAAATGGACTGTAAGTGATGTTGATGAGAAACCAACCTTGGTTCGTACCTTTGACCAGTCCTTTGTAACAGTGCGACCGAAAGATAAGAAGCTATTGGGATCTTCAGGAGCAGTGTGGGCATCCGAACAGATACGTCTGGTGGAAGAATTTCCCACTGTCTTTTGTCTTCCAACTTCGCTGCATCCGAGCTTGAGTACATTTTTACTAAGAGTCCAACACCATTGTTTTCTGTATCATTTTTGCACAGAATATGTAAACGGAGATATTCTCACACAAGAATTGCCTTATGAAGAGGAAAGGAAGACCACTCTACACAATGGACTAAGTGCTGCAGTAGAAGACTTTCAAGTCAGCCTTAATGACATTCCTCCATCACAGAAAGAAAGCATTTCATCTATCTATCAACAAGTAGAAGATCTCAAAAAGAAACTGGAGACATGCCGTGTTCCTGAGGACATTAAAGGCACCGAAGAATCTTGTAAGAAGCTTTATGATATAATGAGACGTTTCCCAGAGCGACCTGTACCATACCCCAATGTCTTAGAATTGACAGACAAAGGTCCTGGAGCAGGTGTCCATAATATAGAAGTCCAGGACTTGTTCCTTCTGGTGTGCCAGTTGCTTGAATCAGACCATCGTATTCGTTTGCATAGGGCGCCGCATGACTCGGCGCAGAACGAGGCAGAACGCACTAATGCTGCAATTGGAGAAGCTCTTACGACAGGAAGTCCGGTCGCCCCACCCAATGACCCTTTTCATGGGCTTCCTACTGCAGAATTGGAAAGAATGTGCTTGAAAGACATAGAACAACACTGCATTGCCTGGGAGGAAGCAAATACTTGGTCAATGGCCAACCAAATTGCACAGCGCATTCATGACGAATCGGGTCCTGGAAAGAATGACTTCCTGATCTCCCTTGCCAGCTACCATCCGGAAACTCACATCCTGCTTCATCTCTCGAAGTACCTTCTTAAATGGAGGAAGGCTTCTCCACAGCAACGACACAAAATATGCGGGAACGGAGTTTTTTCAAAGCTTCAAAAGATGAAAGATGCCCATGTGAAGCAAGGACAATACTACCTTGAGTACTTGAAGTTTTCATGTGACCCAACCTGCGATGAATGCGAGGAAGAAGGTTGGACAGGTGGCATTCCCATTACACGATCTCCATTGCCAGCCCTTGGTCCGTCCTCGCCAGGAAAGTATCTCCCAGTTGATGAACCTCGTTTGGCTCCAAGCGAGGTTGACAGTATCCTTCCTAGTGTACAAGTGAAGAAGATGTTTGTTGAAAAGAAAGTGACCTCTTCTGATAACCAGGCCATACGGCAAGCATGCTTAAAGCTTAACATCGACGAAAGTTCTTGCAGAAGATATCTTCAGCACCTTGAATTCTTGGCTCTAAAAGCAGACAAAAGAAATCTGGAAAGAAACACCATTCCAGAAGATATTTGTTGGGAGAGCAGAGACGATGTTGAAAGACTGACTAACAAGCAACTTCGGCTCTATCTAAGACAAGAAGGTCTAATGGTATCTGGAAACAAGGCACAATTAGTTGAGCGAATACTTAAGCATGCAGATGGTTCTGTAGCAAGAACATTTGATGAAGACATCGAAGATGATGATGAAAACATGCCCTCCAGTTCTCATGATGATACCTCAAGTGATTCTGAGGAGGAGTCAACCGAGTATGAAGGTGGTTCATCAGGCGACGATTATGTGGAGCGCAGCTTCCAAGTTTTATTTATTGATGATGCAGACATACCAGAAGTAATGTAAAGGTAAAGAGGGATGTAGGGAGGATCGGAGGTTGGGGAGGGGGGGTTGAAAGTAATCTCCCCTCTAGACGGGGGTGGAGAAGAAGTTATTTTAACTTTAATTCAGGGGGGGTGCAACTTTATTTTAAGGCCTACTTTGCTAATTTTAGAACCCCCTCCAGATAATTATTGCACAGTCCCTTATTTAGATCTTCTTGGTTGTTGTTAAACGGTAAACAGATTAAAACAACACAAACTAAAACAAAACATGCCAAGTTACAAAATGAACTTTCGTCTGCCCCCTCTCTCCCGGAATGACTTCCAAATGAAAGAAATGGAGATGCTCAAAGAAAAATTAGAATTAACGAAACCAATAGACCTTATTCATGTTACCCGCCATCTTTGCAAGCGCTTTAGGGTTGATGGGAGTAAAGCAATGTCACGTGGTATTTCAGGGGGCAAACAAGTGACAAAATTTGCCAATACGAGTTATCGCGCTCGAGTTTGTTTATTCTCTCCAAACGAAACGACGATTTAATAGTCATGCAAACTGTACATTTCGAATTTCGACAAGTTTTTAATACGTCATTATAACTTGCAGTGAGGACATCTACGGTCGCTAAAAGTAAAAGTAACAATGATCATTTCCACCGATAATTTGCCTTAAGATAAAAAGTTCTTCATTTTCTGTTCGCTAGAAAAAAGATGGCGAGTATCGTCAATAAGATCTATTTGGACGTGGTTCAGTCTTTCTTTGACCCTTGCCCCCTAGGGAGACCCTACCACATTTCGTTACGCACATACAAAACCTAAGGGATACCTTTATGGGTAAACTCAGTCACGATTTTCCATTTGGAGTGTATGCCAGAATATGTAGATTATTGTGGACTAGGACCGTGTGAGACGGGGAGTGAGTATTAAATGTTCTCCGGTGATCTAATCTGGTTCAACCCGCTACTTGAATGTGTATGTTTAGGCTCTAAACAACCTATGTTTCCCTACGGATTGCATGTCTGCGAGGATATAGACAATGGAAATGACTCGACACGGCGCTAAACTTAGAAACTTACTTGTTAAGAAACGTTTTGTAGTTTCCCAAGTCAATGTCGGCTGTTCTGTTCAGGAGCAAGATTGGCAATGGTCGTTTATATTTATCCTTAAAGCATCCAACCTTCTCGTAGTAAGTCCCACAAGCTTGTTAAAAGGTAAAAAAAGTCCTTATCTCACGTCGGTATAGGCTAATCTTTGTTTACATTTTTGGCCTTATCAACATTATGCTTATCACTATCTGATGACGATAAACTATAAACTCTGAATATTGAAAAGGCATAACAGTTTTAGTTATCTTTGAAATTTTGAGCCCAATACACCGAATGGTTTCGGAGAAATTGTCTTCTAAAAATTCGAAATTTAACAGAGGATGTATGGCTTACTAACTTTTTTTCCACCCTGCAATTTTGCAGTTTTTGATGGCTAATATTTCCTTCAATATTGGTTGCAAAGAGCTGAAAATTGCACAAACTGCTCAACTTAATCAACTCTTTCAACTTTTGCATTTAGTTCATATATACGGCCACGGCTTCTTTGAGTTAAGTCGTATGCTAGGGAGGAAAAATGCATATGTAAACAACGACGTCAGCAAAGTATTCACAGGCATATAAGAGCCTGTGATTTCGAGGTTCAGGCCGTTCAAGTTCTTATTCACCGGCTTAGTGGGGAATCAGCCTGAAAAGGTTCTTAAAATGTTCATAAAATTTATTTCACTAATACTATACATTATGCATGACTATAAGTTGAATAACTTTTAATGAATTTTTAAATATAAAATGAATAATAATTATTAATAATATCAATAATCTTTAACAATTAAAAATTCGCAATCAGGCTGTTTAGTAGTAAACATTGTCTATGGTCTCACAGTCCCATCCTTTTGTCAGGAACTGCATGAGCTTGTATGGCTTTTATACTTTGTATGATCCAACAAAAAAATAACAGAGCTCTGCGAACGAATCCCCATTTCCTCTCGTCTGTCAGCACGTCTATCAGACGTGGAGACGAATTTGGAGCGATTAAAAATTCGTCTGAAAGCGGAATTTGTCATTATCTATACGATTAATTCGTCTCAGACGGATAATTCGTCCCTAGTATAAATTCGGTCATTTTCGAACGTTTTCACCGACCACGCGACATGTAGATCCCTTCATTCAGACCCTCCCACGAACAGCAGAAAGAACAAATTTATTTTCGAGTACGCATCATACGCAAATCCATTTGACATTTATATAGGTATATTCGAAATATTTACTAGTTATAGCTATTGCTATAACTAGTGCCAAAGAGCAAAGATTTTAACTATATGCAAGCGCTATTTAATTTGTTTAGAAGTGTCCTGATTTACAGTAATTTTTGAATAAAAGATTCAACTTAAGTCGATTGCATAAGCAAAAATTACCTTGGAAGTTCCTTGGAAGTAGTGCAAGCAAGGGGCACATTTACACCAACTCACGCATGCGCACAGCTATATCACGCGGGCAGTGGCAGCCACTGACATTTATCGGAACTCACCAGCATGGCATAGCAGTCGGGTCAATGAACGGGGTAAACCCGTGTCTCAAAGACCCTCTACTGCTGAGGCGTGTGCAATGCACTCCTTTAAAGCGGACGGGGGGCGGAGGGAGGGGGAAGGGGGTTCACGGTCATGCGCATGTGCGCCGTGACAGTTTCCAGAATAATCATTCGGGCCAACACTAAATTCGAAGAATCTAAAGAAATCATCCGTCGCTCCACGTAAGCAAAGTGAAGTCTGCTATTTCTAAAGTACCCGTGAGTGTTGTTTTGTTTTCGGAGAAAGGCGTTTAGGGTACGAAAACTCAAATTCCTGAATGAAGTCGATCCAGGAAACGACGTCATGGGCGACCGACAACATGACGTTCTCAAGAGTCTTTTGAGATAGAGAAGCTTAGCCGATCGATCTGGTATGGTTCTAGGAGTATTACGTAGTGTGTGGTTTACGAAAAGAATACAGCACACTTGGAAAGTGGGAAAAGGCATGTGTTCGTTCAACAGTGATTTGATTTATGACTCTGAACTGTTTACCGAAAAGTACGCAACAGGCCGCGCGTCTTCACCGATCTGGTACACTTGAAATGTTCATTGTATCTGCTGTATGATCGTATATGTTTAAGAATTGATGTTTTGAAAATAAATTGTTGCCTGAATATTCTGCTCATAATCTGGCTTCTTTATCAACGCGAAGGCTGACAAGCAATTGAATTTTATGCTCAATTTAGGATAATCTTTATACTCATACGCTGAGTGTTTTTGTCACCGGTCAGGCGCTATTTGCAGATATTTTGTAGGTTTATATAAGGCGAACAGAGAGATCAGAAATAAAAGGTTTGTTTAAAAATTTGTTTGCTGATCGGTGACTGCATTGTTACCGTGGGTACGTAAAAGACGTAAAAAGGTGAGTAAAATTTGTGCTTGTTCCGTGGTACGTTCAAAGTGTGAACGAATGTTTTACATTCCTGCAGATATTCCTCAAAAAGCGGTTTATCGTGAGTTAGCAAGTAATTCTGCTATTTTTTCTTTGCATGTCCGTGAACTCTTTCGCTTTTTCTAGAGTTCTACACCCACGAGAGCTAAGCTTCCGCTACGCTGTCTTTTGCGACGTCAATGCTATATCGCATACTCATTTATTGACGTCAGAGAGACTTACGTCAATGATGGTTTAATCTAAGCATCTGCTAAATTTGTTCAGCGGCAGCGGGTTATGAAGAAGTAGTCGTGGGATTTAAAGTCAATCAGAAACAGAGAAATGTATTGGGCAAATGATAATATATCTCTATGAGATAAATAGCCAATATGTCCCCCTACTATACTTTGGATCCATTTTAAGAAATGAATTAAAGGTTCTTTTTCCTGGTTTTTGTTAGTAAGCATTTTCGTTCCTTTAAAAAAGCTTTTTTGGTTTATTTAATTACTATTAAATAACACAAAAAACTACCAGACAGTGCGATACGTCACCGTGTCAGTGACTAAGGGAATCATCTTCGATTTTTAGCGACTTTGCCTGTTAAATTTTTATTTGCAATCGGAGAAGATATATTGCTTATTTAAATTTCATACTCACCATTAAGGCAAGGGTCCAGTTTACAAGTTCGAGTTTCAGAACAAATTCCATTTATGCAGGGTCTACTGCGTGACTGTGTTCCAGAGCCACAAGTAACGCTACACGGACTCCACGGCAGGTCGCCTATAGTGAGAAGTATAATAATAATAATAATAATAATAATAATAATAATAATAATAATAATGATTATAATGATGATAATAATAATAATAATAATAATAATAATGACAGAAATAGTAGTAATAAGAATAGACGCCTCAAGCTGATTCTGAACTCAAAGCTTGTCCTTACGCCGCCTGCCAGGGATTATTACTTGAAAATCACACCGACAAAGTTTAACAAAGGCACGCAAGTCTTCATTTTCTAATTGCAATAATAATGATGACGATATTTTTTAATGATACAGTGAAGAAGATGATGATGTGAAAGATGACGACGATGACGATGATGATGATGATAACGATGATGGTGATAAAATAATAATGTTAATCATAATCATAATAACTATTATAATAATAATAACCATGAACTAGAAGTGAAATCAATTACAAGGATGGCAACTGACTTGAGAAAATATTGACTTACTGCAAACCATTTTCTTTATTGGATCGACATAGGGTGCATATCCTAAGGTCATGTTCTCATACAATATCAATACATTGTCTCCTCCTATTTCCCTAAGCACTGTTGTATTAATCTGAGCTTCTATTCCGTAACCGAAAGCAAAAATACTAACGTTGTCCGCCTACGAAAAAAAAAACACACTGGTAATTAGAAGTGGTGCCTTTAATTTTAATTATTCACTCTACATAATCACAGAAAGGAGGTATGATTCTCACCTGGGCGGGGGGAGGCACTCAACACAGTTTGATACTTGCAGGCTACGCCCTAAAGTCTACCCCTTTTCTTTTGACATACACCTACAGTTGACTCCCGATAACTCGAACCCTCGCTAACTCGAACAAAAATCGATTTATGCATGCTCTATTTAGGCTATGTTTTGTTACGTTACGTTCTGATTTATCTTTTGATTTTCACTTGACATTTCTAAAATTAAATGAGATTAAAATAATCACTGTGCAGTGAAAACTTTACCTTACTCTCAGCTATTTTCTTCGAACTCCCAATAACTCGAACTCCCAATAACTCGAACCTTTTTTTCGATTTCCCTTGAAGGTTCGAGTTATCGGGAGTCCACCGTAATTGCAATAACGTTATCTTAGAAAAATGAAAAAAGCCAAATAGGAATTAGAATAGGCTAATAAGCCTAATGAATTCATTTGCAGCATCTGCACCTCGACGTCGTATTTGCCGGTTGGAATTTGCTATTGTTTTAAAGCTGAAAGACAATAAAGCTGAAAATTCCAGCGGGGAAATGTAACGGCTGCAAATGAATCCACTATGAGAATGTGGCTAAATTAGCCGAATTAATTCCTATTTGGCTTTTTCCTTTTTTTCATTTTTCTATGACGACGTTTTTGCAATTGGGTGTATCCCTTTTAACAGAAAAGGAGTTTGGTATACCTTCTAATCACAAATTTCACATACATCACTAAACCAGAAGTTTTTTTTTTTGCACTTTTTGACAGTCATAAAAAGCGTCTAGCCATTTTAGTTCCTCTAACAAATCTAAAAACCTTTTTAAATACAGATATTGTAATAGGCCATTTGCCCTAAGTGGTCATGTGACATTGTGTTTATGAAAATGAAAGTTACATGATTTTGCTTTCGTAAAACGATTAATGGGTCATATCTTAAACAAAATAATAGTGATTTGGTTTTTCAAACCCGCATCATTTTCTTAAGATGAGTAAGTTCGTAGCTGGTCACGTGACCAAAATTGTAAAATTATGAATTGCCTCTTTCTGAACACAAATTTTGCACTTAAACTTCAAGGAAAATGTTGAAAAGATGATGTGCCAACGTTAACAACACATCTGAGCGTAACTATCAAACGTTTAACAGGATATAAGCAAAAAGTGGTTTTGGCCGCCATGTTGGAAGGCAAGAGTATGACCTCCAACATGGCGGCCAACACAAATCATAATACTTTGTTGAAAAATCGAAGTGTCATAAAATAGCTGCCTAAAGTGCGTATCCTCTCAAATTTGGCGTGTAAGATACATTTTAAGTGCTCTGTTAATTTCTGGCATCACCAAGATTCCAACTCATTGTTTAAAGGAAGCATTGGTCACGTGACCTCTTAGTGCAAGTGGCCTATTTATATGTTTTTAGGTTAGTTTGTTCACGTGATGTGACTGGTTAGTTGGTTGGTTTCTTTGGAGAAGAAAAATCACATCTCTTACCCTTAAAAAAGGTAACGATTTGTTGAAAAGAAGGAACGTTTCTGGTGGAAAAGGCCTCCCATCCGTGAACACGAGTAACACATTTTGCTTATCTTCTCTGTCTCCTGCACTTAAAGTAAACAGCTCATTTTTGGCTTGTAGCAGGGCTAGGTCGATTCTTGTTATGAACTGTCTAACTGGTTCAATAGTACTGATGTTTTCTGCAAACGTGAACCTCAAACGACTGTATTTGTCGAAGGTTATCAAACCAAACTGGGTTTTTTGCGCTGATATTTCGAACTTGGCATAGAATGGCTCTAAAAACGTTTCCAATAAAACTTCAAGTTTGCTTTGAGGAATACTTAGTGACGTGTCGATAAGGATTCCAATGTCTCTGTTACAAGGGATTGAATCAGCTGAAACAGAACAGAAATTAAGATTAATTGTCGTATTCCCTATTTAGAACTTGTGCAAGATCATGTGAGTAGTATAGTAAGGACCAGTTGAACCCCATATTTTGCGCAGGAATCTTACTAACTTGCACAAGAATAATTAACCCTTTCACTGCCAAAAGTGGCCAAAGTCAAATTTCAACAAAATCTCCAATTTTATTTTGGTAAAATGCTGTAAAATAAGATAAATGATACAATGTGAAGTACTGACAGAGGTTTTGAAACCAGTTTACGAGACTCCTTCTTTTATCCTGGCAGTGAAAGGGTTAACGCCTGTAGCGTCACGGCCCCTTGTTTTTATCCCATGAATACAATGCGGTGGAATCTCATTTACATAAGTTATATATAGGTCTATTCCATTGTTAGACTAAAAACTTACAAAAGTATTCATTTGTTGATTGTAGAAGGAATAAGCGCTAACTCAACTGTGACTTAAAATTCAACGAGCCGTAACATAATTATGCAAGTTCTATGTCTTGCCGATTCCATTGTCCATCGCAGGAAACCTATTATCATGCAAAGGGCGTGACGTCATCGGTGTTAATATAGTCGTGTGCAAGTTGATGAGAATCTTGCGTAAAAAAGGGATCTAACATTTTCTTACTATACTACATGCGCAAAAATGTCGCTTATCACACAGTAATTTTTAAGGAGTTATAATAACTCCTCTAGTGGGGTTAATTTAACTCCTTACAGTGGAGTTATTTCTTGGGAGTCATTTTAACTCTAAGGAGTTTAAAGAACTCTTTTTCAGGAGTAAAAATGACCCCAGATATCGAGGAGTTAAAATAACCCCAAAAAAGGAGTTATCCTGTACCTAAATTTTTTACCCCACTTTCAGAGTTAAAGTAATTCCAAAAAAAGTAGAGACAACTCATGTAACGAATAAAAATAACCCCATTTTTGGAGTTATTTTAACTCCAGACTGGGAGTAAAAAGAACTCTTTTTGAGGAGTAAAAATGACCCCAAATTTAAAGTAACCCCCCAAAAGGGGTTATCCTGTACCTAAAATTTTTACTCCATTTTTGGAGTTATAATAACTCCCTAAAAATTACTGTGCAGATTTTGTATATGAAAAAGACAAGAATTAGACATAAATTAGTAAAACATATTTAGAAACGTCGTAGAATTGGACTTTTTCTTACCATTAGTACTGATGATGTAAAGTGAAGTGAAAAGGATAAAGATCTTCAGCATGATCCTGATTTTCTGCAAAAGGTAAATAGCATTAGGCTTCTCAGAAATTAATTTTGAGGAAATGAAAATGTTTTAAAGTTGAGGTTGAAGTGCTTTTTCCCACACTGAAAACTTTTAGTGCTTTTTGGAGGACTCAGGAAGCTTATTCATTAAATTATGACCATCTGTGAAAAAAATGACAAGAAAATATTTTGATAGAAACCGTTCTTAATATCGGCTGTTCACTTAACTGCTCCTTTTTTTGCTTAATTTTAACAATTATATTCGGAGAAAATGGACGTTCACCTGTGGAAACCTCAAAAATGTGGGCAAAGATTTAACGTTGTCAGAAAAATTCTGCTTTCCTGCCCATGGTTCAGGGGGCACCCAACGAGAATATAGTTCAAAACCACTTAAACATAGCATCGTTGAACGTATTTTAGTATTTGAATGGTACATATAGGCATATTTTCATCCCCTAAAAATTTTTCATCTGTTCGAATTTCCTAGCTGAAAGTCTAGTGATGCGAAAATTATAGGGATCAAAACTTACCTTTTCGAAAATTTCAGCCAGAAAAATGGCTCCCGAAAATTCTAGGTGACCTTTTTAGGGTAAAAATCCGTTTAAAATGCGGCAATTATACCATTTTTTAGATGTTCGAAAATCTTAGGAGAGGCAAGCAAGCAAGAAATTTTACAACAAATGTTCCGAAAATTCTAGATCTCAAATCGTCTTCCAAACAGAAGATATTCTCCAAAAATTGTCGTTGGGTGCCCCTGATGGTTTGACTCGTGACTAAAGATGGCTCCAAATAATTCAAATGCGCAGGGGAAAAGAAAGGTTGCTATTGTGTACTTCGAGCATATCGATAAATGTGTTTACTAAAAAGCTACAGTTCATCGAAGGGTACAGATTCTTGCTGGATCTAACTTTTGCCCTGGAGTTTTTCCTTTTAATTTTAAGGAAGGTCGCTAATTTTAATTTTGGTGGTGAAATAAGTGCCTATCAATCAAAGTAGGGAGAGTGCAAATAGAAGTAACTGTTTATTTCTAGTGAAGGGATAACTGTTATCTTAAAAGCATGCCAATATCATTTCCCTTTCACCGGTGAAAGCTTGCAAACAACAAAAATGTTCAGAATTATATATTTAGTTTCCTCTTCTACTGTTCAAAAAAGCCAAGCTCACTTATCATCGACCTCCGTACCGTGTTTTGCATGCCTAATGGCCCTTATTCGTTACTTAGTGAATTTCACGTTTAAAATTCTTTTCTTTTTTTTCATGGAGCTTTTAGAGAAATATTCTCACTAAGTATTATCTTCCACATAGCAGACTTGAAGATAAGCGATCTGATTTCAAACACAGTCGTTTGGACTTAGGCATATAATCCAGCTCATATCCCAACGAGTTCTAATATCGGGACAAAAAGTTTGCGTCCAATTCTTAATCGCATTTTTTTTTTTTTTTTGACAGATCATTTTATACATAATTATTCCATTTCCTTTACGCTCGTCTGGCGTTTTGCTAGCCTACGAAAACCGCACCGGTGGGGATGTTTTGCGGAGAGGAACGTCTGCGACTCAGCGACAAAAATTTCATACTGATGACGTAAATGAATGTTTAAAAAATCCGGTGGTCGTGGGGTTCCAAATGCAAATTTGTTCCATTTGACGTTTTTTTACTGGTCGATTTTGGT